GCCCTGGCGCCCCCCTGTGACTCCCCAAGCAGAAAACCGGGTCCCCTACTCCCGTGGAGGCTCTGCAGTGGGTTCAGCCCCCAGGAAGTTCCCAGGCACAAGAACTCAGTGACAGTTTTCTCCCAAACACAGGACTTTCCCCCAGGTTCACTGTAAATTAAAATAATATCTAGCGTATTTTTAATAAAATCTGAGGTGCTACCAATCCACTTTCCATGACAGACAAAGGTTGTTGAGAATTTGTGACTGCGGCTATGTTTGGGCTTACAATGTGTGGCCTTTCCAACAGAACTGTCGTTCTCTCTGTGACCCTGTCTTCAGCGAAGAAGCTTTGCAGTCTCTTCATCCAGCAACAGAACTAAATGATGGTGGCTTTGGGGGGGAGTGGGGGGGGGAAGGAGGGATAATGGGGAGACAAACTAAGGGAGAAGCCTTGTCTGCTTTTGTTGTTGTTGTTGTTGTTGCTTTTGGATCATTTTAAATTACAGCTCGCACACATAGGCGCGTGTACACACACACACACACACACACACACACACACACACACACCTTAGAATAATAGGGGAGGCATTTGGCTAAGAGCTGCATCGGCCACTGCTCGCCCAGCAGCCTTCCCCGCTGGCTCTCTGGAAGCTCTGCCCTCCAGCACGGCGGGGACCGACTAACCCGACCCCAGATGCCCAACTCCGCCGCGCCTTAAAGATCGCCTCCCAGGGCTGGCTACAGGTACACGCGTGGTCCGATCATCTCACCTGGACCGAAAAGTCGTGAGGCTGAAAAGAAAAAAAAAAAAAGTTGTGCGCGCTGCCAGGCGGGCTGGCTGCCCGGGAGCCAGCGAGCGGCTGCGTCCTCCCGCCGCCGAGCAGCCCTCACCCGAGGCCCGTCCGGCCGCGCACCGCTCGCGGCGCCTCGCTCGCCGGCTCTGCGCGCTAACCTCGGGGCACGCCGAGGCCACTGCAGGGCACTTACTTGGCACTTGCTTTTGAGCGTGCAGGTCGTCGCGGTTTTCACTTGGGTTTTCAAACAAGTTTCAGGAAGGAAGAAGGCAAAAAAAAAAAAAATCCAATTATGCAAATAGGCGCCGGACTGGGAGGCGCGGGTTGGATCTGACGCCGCTACTGTACGAGTTCTCGGAGCAGCCCCGGCCGGGCAGATTTATGGGGGCGCGTCACGGCTACGCCAGGTCCCGCCGCCGGATCATCTCGAAGTTAATTAAAGCGGTAATGTCCACTTTCCCGGCGACCCTCCGCGCGCGGGTTTACGGTTTCACCATCCAGCCCGACCCGGGCGGGGCGGGGGCGCTCTCTCTCCCCCCCACTCGCCTCTCTTCCTTCTCTCTTCTGCTCCCCCTCTTTTCCCTCTCTCTATCTCGCCCCCCCTCTTTTCCTCTCTTTCGTCTCTTTAAGTCGCCTGCCTTCCACTCCATGAACAATGAACAAAGATGTGAGTGATGGGAAAAGATCGCCCCCTCCCAGCCCCAGCAGTAAGCAAAGACGGCCTTAAAGTAAAAAAAAGAAAAAAAGAAAAAAAAGAAAGAAAAAAGAAAGAAAGAAAAAAGAAAAGAAAAAAGAGAGAAAAAAACCCAGTTGCTAATATCCAAGTGGACAAGAACACAGTGCGTTCCCAGTCGAGCCCCCACCCCCATACACACACACACACACACACACACACGCACACACACACGCACGCATTCGCACGCACGCTCACACCATTCCAAGTTCACCTAAGCCCTTGCTGAGGGCGGGGGCGCCCAGGCCAGGGCTCCAGGGGCTGCCCAACTCTCGGGGAGCACCCGGAGCCCCGGGGACTGGTGGAGGTGGGGAGCGGGGAGTAGGGGGAGGGGTGGCGGCGGCGGCGGCCGCTCAGACGGAGCTCGCTTCCCGCGCCCCCCGGCCCGCGGCCCTCCCCCCACTCCCGCCCCGCATCTTAACACCGGCCAGCCCGGCCCGGCCGCCCGCTCGGGCTGCCCGGCGGCCGGATGCGCTCAGCAAACGCGGCCCCTGTCGGATTTCTGCTAAACTGCACGGCGGCCGCGGCCGCCCGGAGAAGGCGCTGGAGGAGCCCGAGGCCGGCCGCGCGCGCACGCACCCGCCCGGCCCGCCGCCCGCCGCCCGCGCCCGCCCGCCCGCCGCCCGCTCGCCGCCGCCGCACGCACCCGGGGCGCCGCGCCCGCAGCCCCGCCGGCCCCCCGGGCGCCCGAGCCCCGCAGGCCGGGACGCGGCCGCGCGGCCGCCGTATTTTCTGCTAAAGTGAAAACGAAGGCGGCTGACAAATCACGTCTCCTGCGAGGCACTCGTTAGACATAACAATATCCGGCAAACAAAACCCCAGCCTCGGCCGCGACCCGCACGCGACGCTGGGACCCCGCCCTGCCGCTTCCAACGGGCCCCAGCTCCAGGCGGCCGCCCCCGCCGTCCCCTAGAAGGATCATGCCGACCCTCTCCCTAACTCGGACGTGGGGTGCTCGTTGGCCAGGAGGCGGACAGTAGGCACGCTCACAATACAGAAGTTGGGGGTGGGGGGGATAGGGAGTGACAACTTTCCACCTGTCCCCAAAGAAAGCCCGGCAGGAGTTTTCTGCGACGCGCTCAGAGGGGGAGGGGTGGGGACAGTCTCCCTCTGCCCGGTTCCCCCTTTTCTTGCTTTTCCCCCCTAACTTCCCGACGCCTGCGTTCCCACCTTCCACTTCATATACATCCATCTATATGGATGGAGATATCTATATTTTAAATTATTTGCAAAACTGCAACAGATGGGCGCGTCGAGATCTGGACACTTTCCTACTCATCATCAAAGAAAAGCTCCCCCCCCCTTTTTTTTTTGCCTAAAATACATTCCGGTCCCGCCTACGACTGTTTTCTTCAATTCTTCGTCTTCAAAAAATAATGTCGTGAAGCAGAGAGGTAGAGCAGCAAAGATGATTCCCCCCCCCCCCACCATACATCTGGGCGAGAAGGTCCGTTCCCCCAAAATGCGCTCTTCCCCGCCGCCCCCAACCCCCTGCATCTTCCCCGCCTTCCAGGGCCCCCCACGCCCGCACTCCCTCGCTCTGATTGGCCTCGTTTCTGCAAGCCCAGGGCTGGCCGACTCAGTTCCCTCCATAACCTGTTACTTATTTCTTTCTTTATTCGTATCTTGGGGCCCCCGATTGGCCCCCAGGCCTGGGCTGGGCCGCGGCAGGTGCTGCGGGCGCCGGCCGCGCGAGCGGGCGCCACGACCTTTTCCTGGGGGTCGCGGGTTCGGACCCAGGCACCCGGGCCGGGCCGAGACCCCCCCCACCCTCCCCCACCCCCGGCCTCGGCCTGGCGCGGCTCCCGGGGCGCAGGAGGCCACTGCAAAAACACAAAATGGCAGGTCTAGGCGGCCTGGGCGCCCGCAAGTTTCACACGCTGGAAGCATCAGCTAACTTTGATTTAAAATTTAAAAAAAAAAAAATTGAAGGAATTACCCTCTCCCCCCCACCCCGGCGGCGTTGGCGGCGGCGGCGGCGGGGCCGGAATCCCGCGGCAAGCCGCGCAACCAGAAAGGGGGCGAGGAGGGAGAGCGGAGGAGCGGGCGGAGAGAAAAATGGGGAGAGCCTACTTGGGCAGAAGTTTCCGCCGCCCCGGCCTCCCGGGCTTCACATCGCTCCCCCCACCCCCCACCCCACAGCCGCCACCGCCACCGCCCCCCTGCCCCAGCCCCTTTGAAAGTTTCCCGGGCCCGAGCGGCGGGGGGCGCGCGGGGGGCTGCCGCGGGCTTGGCGCGTCCGGCTGCGCCCGCCTCGGAGCCCGAGAGACGCCGGTTCAAAGTAACGGTCCCGGGACCGCGGGCGGCGGGAGGCTCGCCGCCGCCGCCGAAGTTGCCCGCGCCCCGCCGGAGCCGGCCGCCCGCCCGCGGTCTCCGCGGCTCCGCTTCCCCCCCGCTGACAGCTCCTCTCGCCAACGTCACAGCCACGGATATTTAATTAGACCGTATTTTTTTAATCGCGATGGGGCGAGAAAGAAGCCGGCGGCAGGCCTCGGCCAGGCGAGGAGGGAGGTGGGGGGGAGGGGATGGAGGTGGTGGCGGGTTGGGGGGGGGGCGACGCCAAGAGTCCAAACTCACTTTGCCACCTCCCCGGACGCCGGGGCCGGCCCCCACCCCCGCACCCCACCCGCCGCGCCACCCCGCGCGCGCGCGCCCCCCCCCCCGAGCCCCCCGCCGCGCCGCGCCCCGCCGGGCCCCCCCCCCCTCCCACCTTTGTTTTCCTTACCTTAAACATTGAAACGCGGGCGTCGGGAGCAAAGTCGGGCACGTAAGCGGAGCGTTGTAAAAGATTGTGTTCAATGAATAATGAAACATGTCCACATGATTGACTTGATCATTTTCCGGGGCTGAGGGGGGACGGGCGCCCTGCTCGCGCGCCTCGCTCGCCCACTCGGCAGAGCCCCGCGAACTGTTCCCAGCCCCGCCGGGGCAGGGCGGGCTCGATTTTCATCTGCCTCTTTTCAGAATCGCCCCGTTCATTGATACTCATCACCCAGCCCCAGCAGACATCCCCGTCCCCGGCTCGGCCTCCCCCTATCTGGTAGGTGAAATGCATTGTACCATTAAAAACGCTCTCCATTGTCGCCCTGGCATAATTCACAGCAACTAGATAGGTCTTGCGGCATTTAGCTTTGATGAGCCAGAGACTGAACCCTTGATATAATAATCTACAAAGAATGGTGTGTGATCGTCCATTTTTTCTCTCTGTCTAGCAACTAAGAAACCATTTAACACAGCGCAGCTTGCTTCTGACCTTGAGCTCATGTAAACACACTTATTAAAATCTATCTATTCTCCAAGAGCTACATTCTGATTGTCAGACTCGTTACTGAGACATATATCAGCCCCTTCGCTTGTCACTACTTTGCATTCCTGCCTTTGACTAAAGAATTTTTTATCCAGCCGAGAGGGAGAGAGGGATTGCCACGGAGGGAGAGGAGAGAGAGAGAGAGAGAGACGGAAAAGGGGTGAGGAAAACGCGTAATTCTTACCTGCTCCTGAAACTATTTAAAGTCTGTTTCTTTTCTGGGGGGAAAAAAAAAACTCCCGGGTGAATCTCGGTGGACAGCGGGACGCGGAGAATCAGTCACAGCCCGGGCGTTTAAGGGAGTCATCAGCGATCAAATGACGTTGATCCGCGCTGTAACCTTGTGGCGTATTTAATGTAAATAAGGCAGTTATGTTGCCAATCGCCGCGATACAAACACGGAGAGGTCCTCAGCCTCGCCTCCCGCGCCTGCCATTAGAGGCGACTTTATTTACAGACACTATTTAGGAGATCATGATAATTCTAAAACAATACTAGTGCCAAATGATTATGAAAATATGATTTTAATTAATCACGTAGTAGGCAAGGAAATTAGCATACGGTAATTAAACTTCGAGAAAAACGTCACGCAGGTTCTCTGCCTTATGGGTCCAGAATAATCATCACACGGTGGGCTCCAGGACTTAATTATCAAACAAAATAACTTTTTTAAGGCAACTTTACAAGGCTGGTCCTCAAGCAAATGGTTTAAGTCAATAATACCAGGCGAGGTAACAAGGTAGAGATGTGAGTGCTGCGTGGGCTGGGGTTTCTGTGAAGCCAGCTGAGGGGTAAGTAGGGGGAAAAGGCTGAATAATGCAATTATGAATTCTCTGTCCTGGAGTTGACAAAAGCTGGTGCCTCAAAAGCCTCTTTGTTATAGGATTATATAATGATCCCGGTGTCATTATGGGTAAAAAAAAAAAAAAAGATTCAGTAATAATAATAAAAGAAGTATCCAGCTACACCAAATGAGGAGCTTGTTTTAAAGAAAAGACTTGAATGTGGCACTGGGGCATGTTAATAGCATAAATACAGGAACTGAAAGAGTTGACAAATAAAGGAGAGAGGGAGGGAGAGAGGGAAGGATGGAGGGAGAATGAGAGAGAGTGAGAGAGAGAGGGAAGGAGGGGGAGGCCTGTGTTGCACACGATAAAGAAGGAAAAGAGACAGATTGGTGATACAAAACGCCAAGCCACAGAGACATTTAAAACACTGATTCAGGTGAGACTTGTTCCAGCTTGCCTGAACTCAGGTTCCCTACGATGACTGGAGGGTTTACAACCAGGCACCACAATACATAAAAAGCAAAGATTCCAAAAAAGACAGGGCACAGCTCTTTGCCAGCAGGTGCTCTGAGCTGCAAACCGCCTGCCCAGGATCCAGTGAGGAACACAAAAACTCACACAGGGAGGAGCTGCTGGTTGGGCTGAGATCTCAGCATAGAGGAGACCCAGCTGCCCCGGGCCACCAGCTCTAGTCACTTGCAGCGTGTGATCTGTCCTGCAGACCAGTGTGGGGCAGGGCATGGAGCAGCACTCAGGCCTGGCACCACTGCCGACCTCCTTGCACTCTGCCCTGGGAATCCAGCTTGGGTTCTCTCCCTTTCCTTCCACTCTTCTTCCTACCATCCTGCTTTCTCTGTCTCTTTCTCTCTCATTCTCTTTCTTTCTCCCTTCCTCCTCCGGCTCTGGCTCTGTTTGTCTCTCTGTCTCTGTCTCTGCCTCTCTGTCTCTTTCTCTCACACTGTCTCGCTCTCTTTAAGGGCAGGGAATTGCTTTCCCCAACAAACGAGTTTTTTGAGATTCTTTTAAGTCCTCTCTCGGATCTCTGCAATGGTGAGTATTTGGGTTTGGCTTTTTTGTTTTTCAGTCTTCTGCTTACCCCCACAAAAGTTTAGGAATTCTGTCTGCATTTTCCGATCTAATGGGTTCGAAATTCTCTTTGAACAAATTCCAAAATACAAAGCATTTGTGTGTGTGTGTGTGTGTGCAAAAAAAAAAAAATGAACGGGCAATCACATTAGTGATATTACCGGCTCTTAGGAAAGGGTAGCCAAAGCAGGGGGCACGTTCTTCAGTTCTTCGTGGAGCAACTGATTATATTCCGTTGTCTTTTGAACCTGTTATTGTAAGTCAAGTGATTCTTTATAAATGACAGCTCTGACAAAGAGGCGAGCAGGGCCGGGCAGGTCGAAAGGAAGTGGCCATATGGACTTGGAGAAAAGGCACTTTCTCCCCAAGAGAATGGGGGTGGCAGTCGCCTTTTAACCCTCCAGCAGCCGACCCTGCCAGGGTCTTGGGAGGCAGAGGCACGAGTCCTGACACAGCTCTGGAGCCCTACCCTGCCAGCCAGCCGCTGTTGGGGACAGATGGAGACTGCCCAGGGTTGGGGCTCTGCTTCCAGGCCTGAGGCAGGAGGCGTTGCAGCCTCAGGAGGTCCTACACCTCGCAGGGGGCACGCGCTCCTGGGCGGGGATCCTTGGCGATTGCGCAGGACAGTTCCGAGGCTGCTGAGGCTGGCAGGCGGGACCTGGTGGGGCAGCTACTAACCATGACCTGGGGACCGCGCAGCGGTACATTCTAAAGCAGCAGCAGGTGAGGGACCAGGCGAGGGAGAGGGCTCCCCCGCGCCCCCTGTAGGCGCCCGCGCGATCTGCCTTCTGGAAGACTCCCGGCGGGTTGCCACAGGAGCATAGGGATCCTCCTCCCTTAGAAGTCAAGATGGGAGGTGGGGGGTCTAGATGGGTGCTGGGCAAAAAGGTCAAAAGGTCTCAGTGTCCAACTCAAGCTGAAACTTGACTCACACCTGTCTCTCACTCAAAGATTCTCCCAGCCACTGTATACCACTTCCACAGTTTGGGATTCCAGATCCTTCTTCTTGACCCAGATTTCTCACCCTCTCAACCCTTCTCCCAGGTTCTGGGTTCTGCGCAACAAGCACCACCTCACCGGCTCTAGCTTCTTCTCCAACTCTGGAGTATTTCTCATTGTTCCTAGCCAGCCGGGTCAGGGCTAAGTCCCTGTAGTTGCATATAAAGTGGAGACTCCACAAGTGCAGGCACCCAAGACATGGGTGCTCCCCAATCCTCAGAGTCCCCATGGGTGCTCATCCTCTGCACCCCAGCCTCCAGGTTGTGCCAGTCTTTTGATTTCTAGAAAGTGACGGGAGTCTCTGGCAGTTAGGTGGATGGTGACTCTGAATAACAATCAAGATGGTGAGAACTTACCTCCTGGGTACAAGAGAAGATCAGAAGCACAGCCCAGAGATACAGCCCTATTTTGGAAATGCAGGAGCACTGTGCCTAGCCACTCTGGTGCCTGCTTCTCAGACTGAGTCTGACCTCTTTTCTTAATTTCTGCAGAAAGGACCATGATTTGTTCAGTGCTGTCAACCACCACTTAAGTGCTGCCTTCCTTGACCACAGGGCTTCTTTGAGTTTTGGGTCTGTCTTGTTTGCCTTCCCCCTGGTTCTCTCTGTCCTTCTGGGCTCTGCCTCCCCATGGGTTCAGCAGGTTCAAACCGGCCATTGAGAAAACTGTGACCTATATGCTCAACAGAGTAAAGCACAGAGGAGGGCAGCAAAGGGAGCTGCTTTGGCTCTGGGGAACTGGCAACACAGAACACTGTGATGAGAGGGTCAAGCCTACAGCCCGTCCCCAGACCTCGATTTCACCACTGCAAGAAACACAACAGCAACCTGAAATGATCTGGAAAGCCTATATCCTGGCTGCCATATAAGAAAATGACAGCCACTTTCATGTCTTCCTTCTACAAGCTGAAAAAAAAATAAGCCGAGGGAGCTGAGGAGACCTCTGAGTTGTCTGGATATCAGGGTCTCTTCTAGTCCCATTTTAATGGAGCATCCTAGCTCCTGGCCTGAGTTTTTCTACCTGGGGAGGTTCTGCCTGGGCCTCCTCCCTGTCCTTCCCTGATGGCGAGGCTTTCCTTGCTGTTCAGGTGAAGATTCTCTCAACCAAGAAAACCAAGGGCAGTTTTCTCAACTGTGGACACCTCAGGATAAAAAGGCTTCAAAGTCTGCCGAGAGAAGATTTCTGAGGGACACCCTGAAGGATAGAATGGATGCACCCTAAACATGAAGAATGGAGAGTGAAGCTGAACTCCATGGCTGTTTTGCCATGAGTTATTGGTCCATGGTTATGGAAACCCCAGGGTAAAGGCCAGTGGGGTTGACATTCCCTCCTCCAGTGCCCCCTTCTTAAGCGACTCTTTAATGAACCAGAGTACTGCTCACCCACAAGTTCCCCAAACTAGGTTACCTAGCTTTCTCATATCTCCCTGTTTCCCCAGTAGCAGCCCCTCACGTCCTATTCCTACCCTGAGGGCATTTTAGTGGGACTTTGCCCTCAGATTCCCACCAATCAGTGTATCACATCTCACTGGATACCATAATTGGTTCAGGAATAGGAATAGGCTGACCCAATCTGAGTGAACAGAAGACTTTTTTTTTAGGAGGCACTAATCAAGGGGTTGAACTGCTAAAGCTCTGTAGACAGTCTCCATCCCCACACCAAAAGAAGAGGGCTCTGGGTTTGCAGCTCCCACAGAAGGGCCTGACATTGGTGTGAACCCAGGGGATAGAGCAGACATGGAGAACTGGCCATCCTTATGTTACACAGGCTCCAAATGCAGTCATACCTGAAGCCAGTTGCATCCTGCACCTTTCTGTTTAGTGAGGATAACAAAGTCTCATCCTTGCCCAAGAACAGACGACTGGTTAAAGAAACTTTGGTACATCTACACAATGGAATACTATGCAGCTGCTAGGAAAGATGAAGTCATGAAATGTGCTTATAAGTGGATGGTCATGGAGAGTATATCATGCTAAGCGAAATGAGTAAGAAAAAGAGGGACAGATATAGAATGACTGCACTCATTTGTGAAATATAAAATAACATGAGACTAATACCCATGGACAGTAGAGACAGGGCCAGGAAGATTGCTCCACAGTTGGAAGCCTGCCTCATGAGCTGGGGGAGAGGGCAGATGGAATAGAGAAGGGATCACCAATTCAATGATGGTTGGAGGGATCGCTCGGGATGGGAGATGTGTGCTGGAAGTAGACAGAGGACCAAACATGATGGCCTCTCGGTATCTGTATTGCAAACCATAATGCCCATAAGTAGAGAGAGAGTAAGAGAGAAACTGTCTGCCATATAGGGAGGGGGAGGGATGGGGCAGGGCAGGGAAAGGATTACTGGGGACATTGGTGGTGGAAAATACTCACTGGTGGAGGGATGGATGTTCACTAATCGTATGACTGAAACTCAAACCTGAAAGCTTTGTAACTTTAGCTCACGGTGATTCAATTAAAATTATAAAAATAAATTAAAAAACAAAGCAACATCCTTAACAATTCAATATAGTCAGGCTTTTCTGTCAC